ACAGGTGGGCACGAAGCTCTGGGTCCATCAGTTGGTCGGTTTCTTCCTTCAGAGGTCCGAAGGCGGCCAAAGCTTCTCCTGTTAGGTTGTATCCCTCAAGTCTCTCTCCTTGTCCATTGAACGTCCGAGATACACGTGAGAAGACGTCTCCATGATGAGGTGCCTTCTAATTCCATTTCTGCATCTTTGCAAAGGGCGCTGTTCATGAACTGAGTCTTCTTCCGATCGTTCAGTTCTTTCAGCATCGTCTCTGTTTCAGTATGCTGCTCGAAAAGAGAACGATGTCGTCTGCAAAACGAGGATTCGACAGGAATCTCCCATCAACTCGCCTCTGTCGTCCCAGTCCAGTGACTTCATCGCCCACTGCAAGACCGCGGTGAACAGCTTCAGCGAGATTGTATCCCCTTTTCGGACCCCCTTCCCAACGGGATGATCAGGGGCGATGGAATAGCTGCATCGTCGTTGTACAGTCCTTGTAGCAGTCGGCTAACGTCCTCACGTAAGCTGGGTCCACTCCTTGATCGACTAGCACAGGATGGCGTTGGTTTCGACTTGTCCTCCGGCTCGCGAAAATTTGACGGGAAGGGAGGTCTGGTCCTAGAGCCGTGGACGTCTTCATGGTCTGAATCGCCGTGCGCACTTTAGCAGGTAGAATTCGTGGTGGTACTTCTTCTTCAGTGGGAACAACGAGCATCGGCACGGATGTTGATGAGCGGAAGAGGTTCGTGTAGAAGCTCTTCGCGATAGATTCCATCTTGTATCGGAAAGTCGGAAATTTGTCTTCGTTGAATAGTGCAGCCAGCGGTACGTGATATTCACAGAGGTCCCTTCGGCACTTCTTGAAACCTCGTCTTCCTTCGGCTGCGCCCTTTCTTGGTTTAGAATTCGGAATCCAAGGGCAGCAGTTCAATTCAGCTCGACGAGGTGCACTTTCTGATGTAAAGATGTGCCACTGTTGGGATACGGTATTAAAAAAAGCATGGGAGACGCTAGAATTAAGTGCCGGCCGCCAGAGTTCGGCCGAAGTCCTTAGTAGGTAATCGCTTTTTACAAGCTGCTTCAGTTCTCTGCTTAGATGGTGGGTTACTCAATATGCTGACAACATTCCTCACATTTTTTTCGTTGCTGGTGGCACATGCTAGGGACGAAAATATGCCAAAACATACGTCCTTATTTGAGAGGAAGTTTATGAGAACGTGTCTGTAAGCTCATGACCTGGTGAACTGTGCCGATAGGCGCCTGCCCAGCATGGCCCGTAGCGCTGTTTACAAAGTTTTAACTTACAAAATTGCAGGTAAGTTTCTTTTAGCTGGGCGAAAAGTGCAAGCAAAGTTGCAATCTTGCGTAGTCATATCTTCCTCATTATACCTTCATTGTAAAACCCCTTAGTGCAGAAAAACTGGGAATTTTGTTAGCAGTGGATTTGTACCCATTCTGAGTGGAGTTTCCAGTTAATCCAAAATCATCAATATTTCAGCCAAAACCTGCGGCTAGGTAAACGGCAAGGATCGAGAAAAAGTCAAGTAGGCGGATTATTCGAGAGAATTGAGGGTAGAGGACGTTAGATCGCCGAATGGGGCAGTCCCCACGCATTTGCAACAAACCGCGCCCCTTCACCATTATTGCCTCATGCTATCTGTCCGCATGGGTGGAGCCTAATGGCAACCTAATGTCCTCTTCCCGAAACTTGACCATAGGGTATTCGGCCTTCTGACTGTGATAACCACATATGATTCGCAAGGTAGCTTCTTATTGTAGGGCTACAGTGGAAATATTTTAGGTAAATATGGATTTCTCCAAAAGTTCGAAGAAATTTTCGCCTTTGTGCTCCGTCTAGCTGTTATGGAGCATGGAAAGCTGTTCTATCAAATAATGTTTATCGGAGCTATCTATCTATACTGTGTATAGGTTGCATCCTTACAAAATCTGCTCGCAGCACATGATTGAAAACCTCAGGCCAACTCAAAATGACTTCTTACCTACTCCTACAGAATCCAGACAAAGTGCCACCAAACCATACTAACATAAAGGTTATCAGCTCACTGAGTAGTCCTTCTCAACAAAAAGTAGGAAATTTGCGAAAACTAACTACCTACTTGCATACCTACCGTATTCCTACATACTATGTTACTCCTATGTATACCAGTGCTTCACCTTTGCTTCGGAGAGGTTCGCATTGACCATTATGAAGAGTACAGGGTAAACTTACGTAATGGCATTGGCCCTTCCAATTCCAGTCATTCTTCCATTGAGAGACCGCTGAGTAATCACAAAAAAACCTTACTTGCTGTGGAGCTCTCACATGCATTGAAGCAGTTTAAATCATACCTTACTGTAATTTCCTCACAGGTTAACTTACAGAGCGACAGAAGCGGCTTATCACAAGTGCCTTGATGTCAGAAGATGCGCCTTGCCGAGTTGAGGTGCTTTTGGATTGAAAATCACATATTCTGGACGGAGATTCGGCGACGAGACGCGAATTTCGGCAACTCCAGCCTAAAGCATCGTTCAGACCACGTCGGTACCCGTCTGAACCCGCCGAAATCCGTCAAAACCTGCCAAATGAGGCAAGGGTTATGAAGGGTGTTACGCGTCGAGTTATTTGTGACTGTTATGTACATTTCACAGTTCGCTCAGTGTCTCAGGCGTGCTTTGTAATGCTGACTTCCAGGCATGTCTCTTCTTTCATTTGGCAGGTTCCGGCGGGTTCAGGCGGGGTTCGGATGGGAGCCAGCGAGTTCGAACCGATGCTTGCGCGATCTCAACGATGCTAAACTCTCTGGCGACCAACGAGCGAGGATATTGTAACTAGGGCCGAATACAAATGAAAAGTTAAATTACTTCTGATTGCTGTCAGTGGAATTCTTAAGTGAATGCTAATTTTACCTTTGACTGAAATTAATACCAAACATTCTAGGACTTCTTGGACACACGCTTCATTTCTCGAAAATATTAGACTAGTGCTCAACGAGGGTTCAGCTGTTTCGTATATAGTGAGAATGGTACTTTTCTCATCCACTGCAACTACACAATTTCACATCAATTTTGTAGGCCACCTAATATCTCCACACTCCCTGTTTTTACCGTTTTTTTATCCCTACTCGTAACTCAGATAATGGTCGGGGGCAGGCGGTCCGCAAACTCGCGCTTTTCTGCAAGCGGTCTGCAAGATTTACTAGCGTGGCCAAACATTCAGCGAGCGGTACTTCCTTCTGCCAGCAGGCAGCAATACAAAATTTTCTGCAAGCGCTCGTCAAATAATCTCTTTCAGCGAGCGCTGGTCAAGCCTTCAGTAGGCGGTAGAACACTTTTTACGCGGTTTCAGGCGTAGGTCTAATAAAGGTGAGACTGTGTGGTAGAGGTGTTATTGATGGTTTAATTACTCGAGTTTGGTGTAGTTTCTCTCAGCGGAAGGTGTCTACGGGCAGTGTGGCCCTTAATAATTTTGCACATCCTCGCGGAAGGTCCGCTAAAATGAGGCCACTACGTCGCTGCTAATCTATAGAAAAACCACTGTTGTTCTCTTCGAGCATTCATCTAAAACTTAGCTAACATTCTTCCAAATTTCTGCAAGCGGACCGCAAGAAATGGGCGGAGTATTTTTCCAGTGCTCGCTTGCCCAGAAAACGCATGGCCGCCTGCCGTCGATAATTATCTGAGAATGTGCCAAAATTTTTTTCCCAGGAAGCTGTTTCCAACTGGTGAACATTGAGCGCAGATGATAACAACCTTCCATCGCTAAACCTCTTAAAGTATATCGCGTTTGCTGCAAGAATAACAATAGAGACTCGCGATGATGTTGCGCACAACGGTCTTTGCATTTTTCTACTTGGAACTAGCTGGTGTTCCCGTTCCCCCCCCCCCTTCGTGATCGAGGGTCCAAAGTGGTTCGGCAAAGTCTTTTATGGCTTACCATTTCTCCATCTCCTTCAATTTGCATCTTCTCTTCTTTTTCTGCTCCAGTTCCGAGTTCGAATTGCATCGCCCCTGTGGTATCCATGGCGAATATGCCTTCCTCCTCGGCCTCACTGGAAAATGTGAATAATCTCTACCGCCCTTACTACTTGACTTGGAGAAATGATTAATATACTTTCACTCGATAATCTGTAATGCCGCTACTTAGAATGACTAGTGTGATGAAGCGAAGAAGAATAGAACGTAATTGAGTGGAATAAAAAACCATAATCAACAAGGATCACATTTTCTTCAAAACTTTTAAAAAGGTGGTCTCGGATTATGCAAGCGAGTAAACAAAAGTGCTTTGGCCTGCGCTGAAGGTAGACAATGAGAACAACCAAATTTCATGTAAGTGTGGTAGTATGCTATCCAAGGTGGGATTTTTCGTATAAAGTATAGCACCGTTTTGAAATACCAGTAAAAATGAAAATTTAGCTTGCATAGCGGATTCTTTTCGCCTATTAAAGCTAATGAAATTTCAAGAAGTAGAAGATAGTGCATCTTCATCCCAGCAATGTTTCCTATATATTCTGGAATTTGACTTAAATTCTGGGAAAAAGCTGACAATATCAACTCGGTTCCTACTTGGCAAGTCGCTTTGACATTCCTTGGAAGTGATCAACCAATCATCAACTCCTCACATTTAAATGGCCGGCGCTACTTCTGATATCCTCTTGAAGTTACTTCAAGATCTACCAAGACAAATTGAGATCACTTCGAAAATGGAACATCCAAAAGATCCAGTGTTTGTTGATCCAGTGGTCGTAGTCATCGTTAAACCTCCAATTCTAGGGAATTAATAGAAATTTTTCGCTTTATCCACGCATGTTGACAAATTTAGGATGAAAGCTTCCTAAGGTTGTACATCTACCTTGGTGATTATGTATTGTTCGAGCTAGACGGACACAGTAAAAGTTCGCAAATCGCCGAGCAAATGTTTTAAAAATGCTGAGGCTACTGTTCTAACAACGAACTCGTTGTTAGAACAGTATACTTGGGTTCAGTTTAGATTCTAGAAACATTTGCGAAGACACGGAATTCGAATCGTTTATTGTCGATTCCGATTAAACCCGAAGTCGGATATCTGTGCTGTTTGAGAGATGATTGGATTGATCTGCTTGATTAGACATTAAACAATTCTCTTCTACTTGAGCAATTGCTCTACGGCGTATAAGATAATGAATGTGGCCCTTGATGCGGTCACGGTAGCACAGCATGAATTTCGTTCTGGTCTGTGTCGAGCACAAAAAAGTTCACCGCTTCGTTCCCATGGAGTCGCGAACTGAAACAGCCATCACATAGGGGGAAGTGGGAATGTGTTTCTCGCTCGACTCACTTCTTCAGGAAGGTGTTTCCCAAGTGCAGCTAGCCATCCATTTGCTTCCGCAACTGCTTCTCCTTGAAGACAGTCTGCCAGACCCGCCAGGAAGGCGTCGGCAAGGACGTATCTGTCATCAGCAGTGGGAAATCCTGCAAAATTTTTGAAATTCTGTTTTTGAAGGAGTTTTGTCTTCTTTTGCAACCCACCCGCATAATCTAACCCGAGACAGCGTGCAAGATGCTGATTGGCTGCTAGCATATTACGGTACTCCTGTTTCAGACAGATTATCCAACGACGTCCGTCTTCATTGGCTAACCAATACGGATCTGAGATTGCAATCAGGTTAGAAACGGCAAAACACTAGACCCATACTTTTGTCTCCGACGTAAAGGCGATTGAAGCGATCGTCCAAGTCCTCAGCCTGAATTCTTACACCATACGCCAATTATGCATTTTTTTTTAGCAGTATCATACCTACCTCGTCTGTATAAAGACCTACGCGTATCCCTTGCTTGCGAGCAATGTCTGGTTCACATCTTCCCAAAATTTCCATTACCAACTGTAAAAGAAACTTTAGTTCATTATGAATTTTTTCTTAAGATTCCCGATTACTTGTCTCTTATCCATTTGTGTTGCATTAACATTCAGTGGAATCCGATGTGTCTCATTTGAATGAAATTCTGCTCTACTTCTTTGAATGTCATTAGAAATTTGCCACGGTCCCACTACAGTGGTAAACTGTAAAAAGCCCGTTTTTCGTTGGTTTGGTGCTACATTACCCTACCCTGTCCACAACTCCATCCCTCAAGTTGAACTCATTCATTGCATACTCCGCCATTGGGCACATTCCATCAACATTACCAAATGTTTGAACAGCAGCGAGAAGAAACCTCAGTTCCTAAAAATGCGAATCTTTTCCCTCTACATAAATTTTGCACACTCACTTTGATTTTCTCAACACATCCATCGGTCTGATTAAGAATGGCTTCGCGCACCATCGCACGATCGCTTTCAAACTTTGACGTGAAGAACTGATCGAGGTAAACGTCCCCTGAAATTTCGGCACTGATGAAGAGTAGCTTATGATTACTAAATTACCGTCTGCCGCAGTGATGACAGGCTCCCCAACGGAAAAGAACTCGTCCTCTTCGACTTCATCGTCAGGAATGAAAGGGAGGCGTCGGAAATCTTCTGAGCGTTGCTCCGCCCGTCGACGTCGGCGTGGCCTAAACGATATTATCTTTGGGCACATTTTGAGGGTTGAACCTTTTGCGCTGCTGATGCCAGTTTCCATTTGCTCTTTCGACAAGATGGGGCTTCAATAAATTTTCGAAGCAAGCCCTTAGATCTGAAACACACGTGTACTGCCTATTCCGAGCTGCTGTGTTCGTTTGTATTTCGAAGCATCGCCTTCGCGGATCCAACCGCGCTAATTCCATGGCACGATTGATCCAGATCTGCAAATGAGGCCAGTACTGCCTTCTGTATCTTCTTGCTTCAGCCTCGCTACCTGCTTTTCGTGTGCTGTGAGCTTCTGCCAAGCAGGCCTTGCCCGTTCGTAGAGCAGATCGCAAATGGGAGATCGAGCTCCTCCAAGCTTTCCGCCGAGATGTTCGGCATACAGCGAAAATCCACACTCTGTCTGCAATGGCTGGCCGTTGGTGGAGTAGAGTTGGTGAGGTAAGCAGTGCTTACGCTCATCAGTCGAATCGACTGTTGCCTAGGAGAGAGTGGAGTTGAAATGGACGTAACTGAGATGAATTCTTGCTTATATACAGTTCTTTGACTTCGCGCAAAACACCATTCATTTTCACAATGAGGTCTGAGATTTCGGTGCACACTCACAACTAGATAGAAACTGGAGCATGTATTCTCGAACAAGGGTTGGGGCCAGAGCTCGGCATGAGCGAGTGAAATTTCAAAACGAATTCCCCTGTGATCATAAATATCTTGTGCAAAGTCCCCTTTGACCGTAAACCCTAAACGTAAAAAACCCTAAAAAAACGAGGCTTGTTCAAAATAAACGCGCAATTTTTGTGTCTTTTGGCCGCAAAAACGATATCCCTTTGCTTGTCCCAAAAACGATGACCAGCTCGACCCTGTGTCAGTGTTGAGTCTGGATGGGGGTAGAGGACTGTATATCGCCAAATATAGGAGGATCCCTTCTTGCAGGAGCGCATATCCGTGCATGTAAAAGGGTGCGCATTTGTTGCAGACGACCGCGAGGGCCGCACCATTTTCGGCGACATAGTGCTCTACCCCTGGGTGGGGCTACCAACAAACCCTAAGCAGTGTGTTTAGGTTACGGAAATGAGACCCTCAGACAAACCCAACCTCAAGAGGGGGATCAAAAAAACAGAACCAGCCTAACGACAGTGTAGGCAACGAACAAGAATTTTGGTAGTGTTCATTTCACGACTTCAAATATCAAATTTGTAAGAAATCACAAGTCAGTTTCAGTGCCTCAGAGGTGGTTTTTGGCTTTTTTAAGAACGAGGTCCTACTTGACTTTGAAAAGCTACATAAAGTCACTATTCGAATTTCTGGTTGTCGGCGTTACTGCCTGGAACGACCTACTTCCTTCGCAGTACGTTATAACAAAATTTACTCAATAAAATACGTAAAGTCTAGCTGTTTTTATTGACAAATACACTTTTTGATTAATACCTTTATTTCAAATATTTGCGTCACAGTCATTGGCCCTAAGGAGGACCATTGGATAAGAGCTCTTCATTTATCTAAAGTTATCATAAAGCTTTGCTCTAAAAAATCGTAAAGAGTGCTGAGGCGTAGATGTGTCCAGGTCGGTGATGGCCTTCAGGTGCTCGCAGTAGGCGACGGCGACTTTTTAAAAGTGAACTACATAGAATATGCTTTTAATACTTTCTTTTACGTTCGTTTTGCTTATTTTCCTTTTTTAGCTTCAGCAAAAAAATTCCAAAATTCAAAAGTGAAGGTGGTTGCCCTGTACCAGCTCAAAAGTGAAGGTAGGCGGAGATTCGGGTCCGACTATCGCACCTCTGGGTTGAGGTCCCTTTGCCAACACAGAATCTCATCGTAAAGTTTTATAAGCTGAGCTTTTACGCCCAAATAATCCAATAAATGTGATGGCGATCAATGGCGAACATCTAACGGCTGCCAATTGTATGAACACGCACTTTCAAATCAAGATATTTTCTAAATAAAATTTTAATGTTTCAATTGCTGTTCACTTAATCAGTAGAAACGGCTGACGCTGGCAGCCGAAAACCTTACAAGGGAATGTATCTGAATTAAAGCGGACTTTTCTAAGGAGATGTATATCACTCGAAAGATCTTTGAGAGAGATCTATTTTCAAAGCAATATTTTATATCTGCTTATCGTTTTACTGAACAAAGTTGGATGCATTTTTCTATTTCCAAATTGCATTATCTGGTACTGTCTAAATGATCTAAATTCTAAACGCGGTTTTGCTCCAAAGCTGTATGCCGAATGTCTGAGATATATTTATTGTACATAATAAATTATTGGGAATAGGTTTGTAGCTACTCTGACACCTTACTTCTGCAAAGAAAACCACTGGAGGGCAAACAAATGCCTGTAACTTTGTTCAGTGAAGCGATGGGCAGATAAAGAATGCATATTCGTAATCAATATTTCAAGGGACTCATTATGGTATACAACATGTTGGATAGCTACCTTGAATAAAACACTACCTTCCTTATTTAGCAATAAGCTGAATGATAAGGCAACGGGCAACGAAAGTAGGCTTTATTGAAATAGAAACTTGGTTATACGAGAAGACGCGCAGCAGCGACCAGTTCAAAAGGCTACTATGGATAATGTAGGAGCTCCCGCAAGCACTGAATAGTGGGCTGTGCACAGTAGTGGCCTTCACACCGTGATCTGGTTGCATCTTATTCGAATATTTGTGACAGCGTGTCTTTATTCTTGGAACATACTTACTACTTTTTATATATTTATGCCCGATGACTCAATTCCATAACATATCCCTCTCGCTCTCATTTCCATGCACCTACAGGCCCCCTAAAATCCAAAAGACTACGCGTCGCTTTGAACACCAACGCGCGGCGCGGCTGGAGACGTTCGGTCCCGAGGCGCTACAGTCTTTTTTCGACAATGAGCGCGCACACCTTCCACACATATTTTTTGAACCTTCGAAGGGGGCTTTCGTCAAAATACATCTTGCATTGACGAGAACAACATGAAAGTTAAAGAAAGATTTTTGGAATTTAGTGAACGCCGACACTCGTTCGCGACGACCGCTCGCTTACGCTGGTGTTCAAGGCACGGCGCGGGTGATTAGGATTTAGACGCCTACGCTCATTTTGCTTGGCGCTGCTTTTACAATGAAGAGTTTCTGTTTCATAATAATCAAATTTTTACAATGAAGAATTGCTGTTTCATAATAATCAAATTTAGAGAAGCCTCTCATATTTCGGTGTAGATCCTACAGTGTAAGTAAAATGAATATGGTAGTGTTTTGAACTAAGTGGTAATGTAAGCGACAAAGCCGTCGCAAAAAAACAGTCCGAAAAAAAAGACGGGTAAAATTATAATTTCGTGTTTATTCACTATTTATCCCGGAGCATGAAGGGCGAGATCGCTAAGCATTTTTCTTTGTACAATGATGCATAGTGTCTATCATAGCAGAAAGCAATTTCGTTACAATCATGAACAAGTTTTCACCAGCCTTTTTTTGACATTTAGATAATGAAGGATGTATCGTCGATTCGTTGGCCGTACGGACTGCTCAAACGCTACGGACCACGCGTGGCGCGGTTGAAATGTTGCGAGAGCACGATTTCAACAACGGCGAGTTTGTATCGGAGCAAGCGTTTTACCTCGCGGCGCGTGCTCCGCGGTCATGTCCAGTCCGTACAGTCAACGAATGGACGATACCTTATCAAAAGTGAGGAAGTGCAGCTTTCTATTTACATATTCTGTTAGGCATCCCTCCAAGGAGGCCGCTATCTAACTCCGACTCGTCTCGGCTAATTTTGCCCGGTACTTTTCCATTATCCGAACCCATTTTTTCAGAGAAGAATATTGCTTCTATCCTTGTGCCATATTTTGTCTCAGCTTCACAGGAGGGTGTCAACATTCTGCCATTGAAAAAAAATTTGACATGTTATCTACGTGTTTAACAGGTTTCATCAAGAGTTCCTTATTACCCTATCTAGCGATGTAAGTTCAATCTGTTTTCTAGTTAATTTCGACCTCATTTCGATCAAACATTTTCAAAGTGAGCATTGTCATAATAATAACGACATACTATCATCGATGAACAGATTAGACTTGCTCAAGATAGAGAAGTGTGCTAGGATTCAGTCATTTCAAAGGCGAAATAAGCAGCAAGGTACTTCAAGCTATCACTTATAGTCTTTTCGGCTAAATTCGCATAGCGAAAAGGGTTAAAAATACATTTTTGAATCACTGCTGAAAGCAAGCAAGATGTTTTAGAAAGCTCATGATTTTTTTGCGCTTATGTGAAACAGTTAAGTAGCTTTAAAATGATCACAACTTCTCTTTTATCTCACCGGAAATAATTTTACAAAAACATGTCAAAATAGACCTGTTGTGTCCTCCACGTCGGACACGTCGACTCTTCGTCCTGAGGCAGCACACGAGAAACAGAGAATATTTGTTAGAAAATAATAGAACAGCCAAAAATAAGAGAGGTAGATGAGTGAGCAGGCGAACTGACAATGGCTAACAGCGAGCGCCTTTTATAGCGCTCATTTCCCGCGCATTATGGTCGCAGGCGCCTCAGCGAGGGCAGATCATACGAGAAAACAACTGATCAGACACTAACATAACACCTCCCCCAGTAGGGTAGTTACACAAAACTAGCCTACGATAAAAGCATGAACTACAAATATGAACAGCTAAGAAATCGATTACACATATATATCACTTTCATTTAAACGCTACAAATCTAATGAAACAAACATACGATAACATGCTATGGACTAGGTTGGAACCGTTGTACCGGTCTTCTCGTTCTGCTCGATCTCTGAAGCGTTGTCGGTGGCGTGGAGCTCGTGGCTTGATGTCGACGTCGATGTCGTTGAATCCACGGGTGCTGGCACATCGCTCGCGATCGCTTGCTCGGAACTCCCTTCAGCAGCATTGCCATTCCTCGATAGTGTGTCGTCTTCTGTCAGAACATCTAACAGTATCTTCAAAGCTTCGGATTGTTGTTGAAGTTGTTGTCGTACGGCGACTTGTTCACTATCGTTTCGATGTCGCAGCTGATTTGCATGCTTCTTGCATATCTCATCACCAACCATAACTTCATAATTGACACGTCCAATACGTCTCATCACGGTTCCTTTCACCCAGTGGAAGTGGGGTGGCTTCCACTGCTTAGCGTATACCAGGTCACCAACTTCGAAATCTTTTCGAACGACTTCATGCTTCTGGTCGAACTGATCCTTCATGCGCTCTCGTCTTCTTCGTGCGAGTGGGTCTTCTGCATCTTCTGTCATCGGTAATAACAGACTTAATTTTGTGCGCAAGTTTCTGCCGAGAATCAATTCTGCTGGTGTCTTGTCGTTCAAGTTCGTGTTTGGTGTTGTCCTGTACGCTTGTAACACCACATTTAGAATCTCTTCTGTTGGCCTCTCCTCCCCCTCTAGTTTCTTGATTCCGCGTTTCAGCGTATCAACGAAACGCTCTGCGTGTCCATTCGATTGAGGGTGGTACGGAGCAGTCCCTATATGCGTGATTGAGGGATTCCA